AACTAAGCACAAAGATCCAGCAAAAAGCCCCTACACACCCTCGGTGTGAGTGAGACCACACCGGTGGCGCCGAAGGGAATTAGCTTATTTTCGCAAGCATTCTTTGGAGACATATAAATAGATGTTTTGACTTAGGCGTTTTGGATTATCTTATTCTGTTATGTTGCTCTTAGCCATCAACTGCAACTAATTTTGGAGTTCAAAGTAGTTGGAAGGAAAGAACACCTAATTTCTCTGTACAAGATTGTAATTGCAGTTTTGATTTGAAGGATCTCAATTGAAGGAAGGGTTAATTCTATTCTCTCTTTGATTTATTTCGTTCTTATGATTGTCCATTTTGCATAATTATTGGACTGATATCTTCTTATTTCCAATCATGGGGCCGGGACGGGGTGCGTGACTCACCTTGTGAGTAGATTCGTCCTGCTCTAGGGATTGCGGAAAGAATCAACGTTTTGTGATTGATGATGACATAATATATGTTCTATGTCGTTGAAGTTTAGATCTTTAAACTTTAATTTCTTGTTGTTTTAATCTTGTCTGATTTCGCTTGATCACCGGATTAGGCAATCATAGGTAAATAATTGAATGACGAAAGGTGAAGCATTAATACAATCTCTCTCTTTTATGCATTAAACACTCGTAAATCATGCTTAAAACACACTAAGATAATGCATATTTTACGTGTTTATCACACTCGCATCTAAGGCCGCCTTCGACAAACTGCTCTCCTACCAACCGCTATCGAGTCCACTAACCTCCCCTCCATAGCTCACTTCCACTTCCGACTCGACCAAACTCGCCTCCATCTGTCACTTCTACCTCCGACTTGATCAAGGTAAAAATTTTGTATTTGTGGTGCAATTTGTTTTTTCTATATGTGAAATTGATGAATGATATGGATGGATTAGGTTAGGGTCTAATTTTGATATGAATGATATGGATTTTTATTTAGGGTTTAATTTTAATGCATTTTATGAAATTTATGGTTAAATTTGTATTTTTATGAGTATTTTGATGAATGATATGGATTGATTAGAATTTAGGTTTAATTGCGATATGAAATTTCCAGTGAAATCTTTAAGTTTTAGTTTGTGAAATATGATGAATAATGTGGTTTGACAATTGATTAGGCAAATCATATTATTGGGATTTAATTTTGACATGGATGGATTAAGTAAGAGTTTAATTTGATGAATTATATGGATGGATTAGGTTAGGTGTTAGGTCTCATGTTTATGAGCACACTCACTAATCTTGTTTTGATAATTACAAACAATGCCTAACATTGTGCGTCGAGTGCTTGCATTTATTTTGTTAGGTAATCTACACAAATTTCTCATGTCTGAGGTTGGTTGGAATTATGCTTACATGATCACATTCAATGGAGGTTGGCGGAATACCAAAGTGAAGTTATGCACAAATCAAGTCAAAGATTCAAGATCAAGCTTCATCCGTAAACCAAGACAAGCTCATTGAAGATCTATAGCTTGGGTATAGTAGTATAAGTTTATACTTTGTGTGTTGATACTTAGAGCTCAACTATACACACACATTGCTTTCGTTTTCATGTTTTCGTTTTTAAATTTAAATCGTATAAATATGAAACTAATAGTTATATTTATATACATATACTCTAGTTTCCTATTTATCGATTTTGTTTTGAAATAATGTGATTAGCCATATAAATATAAAATAAATGGATATAGTTATATTTACACAAATTTTTTCATGTTTATACATGCTTACAATGATTTCATCAATATCAAGCTTTAACAATTCAATGAAATCATGTTTTCTATTTTTGAGAGTTCATGTTTTTGTAAATTTTTAAAATAACATGTTTATAGATTAAAGACTTGTTTAAACTATTGTATATCTTTTATTTAGTCTATAAATCTATACAAGAGATTTCAAATCTTTTGTTTAAGTCAAAATATCAAAAACAAGTATTTTGACATTTTGTATTTTGACTATTTTGCAAAAATGATGAGTTTTCACAATTGGGAAGTGAAATTTGAAAAATTCTTTTTGTAACATGTTCATTATCATGTTTATAAATATTTCCCAAAGTTTTATATTTTTTAGAATTTATTTGATATTTTTAAAAAGGGTTTAAAGCTGATGTTTTTTGTTCAAAACAGGCTATGTGCATGTTTTGAGTCGACTCGCTACAGTGTTGAGTTGACTCATGAAGTGTTGAACAGTTAGTGTTTCAATCTGCTGAGTCGACTGAAAAATCAATGAGTTGACCCATGCAGACATCAGTCGACTCACTACAGTGGCAAGTCGACTGATGAAGCGTTGAGTAGTTTATGTTTTTCGTCTGTCGAGCCGACTGATAAACCTATGAGTCGACTCATGCATACATGAGTCGACTCATGCCTGTCATCAATTGACTCATAATGTAGTCGTTGCACAGTAATGATTAGTTTTTAGATTTGTGTTTTTTAATATTTTTATGGGTTTTTGTTGGTTTCTTGGGTTGGTTTCTTCCACCCTATATATGCCCCTTTGCCATAACTATTTTCAACTATCAAGAAAGTCTTTAATCAAGTTTACAAGGGTGTTTAAGTTTGTTTAAGAGTGCTTTAAGTTTGTTTATGTGAAGAGGTTTTCACAAGAGGAAGAAGAGATCATTTTCATTGTGTTTGGGCTTCAATCTACATCTCTCTCACTCTTGTTTTTAGAGAAGTTTTGCTAAACTTAATTTCCAGCTTGTATTCACATTTATTGTTGATTATCTTTTCATTAAGCTAGATTCTACATTAAGTTTAGTTTTGATTTTATTGATATTCATTGTTTACACACACCCACTTGAGCTTAAGTATTTTCATACATAGTTATAAGTTTTCGTAATTTCAGGATTTTTTGAAATGTCTACCAGTTATAAGTTTTGAAATTTTAGGATTTTTTTGAGATTTTTAACTTTTGATGGAGTTTTCGTAATTTTTGTAACTTTGAGATTTTTTTTTATAAATTTTAAATTTTCAAGTGCCTAATGGTAATCCGTGGAATCTGTCTTTGTTGTTTGCAAGTATTAAAATCTCTGAATTTTAGGGTGTGTTTTTATAATTTGAACTTTGAGGTTGTTTTTACAATTTCAAATTCCTCGGGGGGCTATTGTTAGTTTTTAGATTTTATATTTGTTGTTTTAAGTTTTGAAAAGTTAGTGTGTTTTGGGTAATTCTAAACTTTTAAATATATTTTGTGTAATTTTTAAAATTTTTTGAGTTTCTTTGTAATACTTCATGTATTATAATATGTTATCTATGTAGAATTTCTTAATCTTATTTGTTTAGATTGTTAAGCTATGAGTGGTTCATGTGGAGTTAATATAGGATATAATTAGTATTTGGATAGATTAACATTTAAATAAAATATTCAAAATAATATTTCATGTAGTTTGTTAATTTTTTTTTTAATTTTTGAGCTATTAGGTAGTTCACGTGGGATTAGATAAGATACAATTAGAATTAAAATAGATTAAAATTTAAATAAAATATTTCAAATGGTGAAGGATAATATTAATCATGAAAAGATTTTCCCGAACTCGTGCTTTTAAAGGGAATATATAATTTATTTATTATTATCGTCATGTTTCGCTTTCGTAATAACCTTTCCATGTTGCAACTCGTCCAATCAAACATCTACATAAACAACTTGAATTTCCAAGTGCCTCTAATCTAAAACACACTTTAACTAGGAATACTCACGCCAAAATTGGTGGGCTTGTGGCACCTCCTTAAGGGGATTATTGGTTAGGACAAATTGAGACTAAGTGGAATATTTATTCTAATAGAATAATTTTATCTCTTTGAGATATTTTGAGTGAGGTAAAGTAGAATAAATTGGGATTATGAGATAATTTAAAGTTTTGATTTGATAACTCATGTGGGATAATTGATGATGTGACACCTTATTAAAATATAATATTTATATATCAATTAATTCTAAATTAATATATACATTTTGTTTCATATGTTATTTAGTATGTTATTATAATATAATACATTATTTTACTTTATACTAAAATACAATATGTTACATTTTAATTGTTGTATTATAATACAAAATAGTTTAATAAATAATATACTATAAGTATATTATAATAACTTATATTATATTATAATTGAATATTATATTATATAATAATTAATATAATATATTCAAATAGTACAATATATTATATTATAATATATTATATTTATAATTATTTAATTTATGGTACTATAATATATTATGACATAATCCATTATATGTTATTCTTATAATATTATAAATGATAAAATATATTATACTTTAATATACACATCATAATAAATAAATAATTTATTGCATTACAAAATACAATAATACTAATATGAATT